AAACTGGCTACGATTTTGTCGACTTTAATCGCTTGTGCTACGTTAGTAATGACACCATCGATTTCGCGCGTCGCTTTTTTTACGCGCCTAGATGTGCGATTTCTTGGCTTGGAGAAATTCTACTCATAAATTGGGCCATGTGTTCTACTCAGAAGAACGCATAAAAACTGTCTATTTTTCTACTAGTTCCGCTTAGATATAGATAGAAATCAGTGTCATATTCTTGACACATAAGAATAAACAGTATTTAAAAAATTCGGCTTGTTCAACAAAGCGCTTTCATTCTTCGCCATGAAACGACTCGAATGGCAGAAATCTAAGCATACACTTTTACTTTCTTTTCTTTTCTCTTTTTCCGCTGATCGAAAATTATGACATTATTTACAGTCATTTTAGCTGTCCATTTCTGACGCGTACCCACTTACCAAAACCGAAACTGGCTTTGGTCAAAAAGGTTAAAAAGAATACAGCAGAAAAATACCCTTGATACCTTAACTTGTTTGAGCTCAGCGGTTAATCAGAAAGGTGAGATCTTTCCCGCAGCGTGCAGAACGATACTGGTAAACAATGGAATTGTGCGTGTGTGTGTTTGTACGGTTTTCACTTTTAATAAGTCCTTATTTTTTATGTCCATTAACTTTGCTACTCTTTTGCTTCTTTGTTCTCACTACAAATGACAATTTCCTTGGTCCTGCTGTTTTTCGTCTCTAAGAAGAAAAGGAGCCTAACGAATTGGATTAATTCAAGTATCACATAATTAAAATTAAATCAATTTTCAGTACGCTAGTTACTTTTCGTTTACTCTGTCTTAAAAATCAGCCGCGGTGAACACCCAGACGAGGGTAACAAAGTCGAAATATCTTGGGATTGAAATGGTTGCTAAGCAATAACGTCAGCGGAATGACAATGGAATGGCAGCTGTCAAACAGTAATGGACATCTTAAATTCACTTCAGAATTTCAATTGCGAATTTTCAAAAAAACACAACTCTGAATTACAAATATGACAACAAAACTGATGGCCTCTGCAGGGATTTGAATGCACAAAACCTGTGTGTGCCCAGTGTTTTTATTTGCTGTTTGCCGTCATACAACCTTTTTGTCCACTTTTGTCTTAAGCAATGAATTAAAATTCTATCTAACGTTGGATCTTCTGTCTAATGAACTGTTACGCACGGTTTCCGACGTCTCCGCGCGTAAAACCTCAGTTTGTTATTTGTAGTTGCCACGTTGTTTCAAGGATTTCCTCTTTATCAATGACTACCTGATATGAAAACAATAAGTAGGCCCTGAGAACGTAGCACACACAATTTACATCTGTATTTTGCTTCTTTTTGTCTGTTATTTGTTGTTATACAAGCGGACTTTTCTGTTTCTTTCAACTTTAACTTAGAAGAGGAAAAATTTAACACGGTCTCTATGAGAAGGTGCAAATTGTTTTCATGGTTTGTGTCCTTTATAACTCTCCTAGTTTATAGTTTATCTCTTTTTACTTCCTTTTTTTTTTTTGCCACTTTCATTGCATCGTGTTTCCCGTAAGTTTCGTGGGTTCTTTATCAATTTGCGATGACCAATTTAAATCTCAGGAAACCGTAAATGTCCAAGTCTATCTTTGCTTTTGTCGAGTTTTCTTTTCTATCATCACCCAGCAAAGGCAGATGGCTAAATGTTTTCTGCTGTTTTCTTACTATACTTTGACAGCCTCGTGTTTCTTATCTCGCAGCCTCGTGGAAGGTTTAATGAACTTCTTCGGAGAGGCCGCAAGGTTTAAGACGGGTAAATAAACAGTGCTTAGAACCTTCAGTCACTGATCAAAATGATTGCCCCCAGTTCTGGGTGACATATCAGCTTAGTGTCATCGTTGATTCGCGGAATTGGATCATCAAAGCAATGAAATCTCCTTTTTTTGCGATTTATCCTCAATTGAGAAATTCATTTAATCTTCTAACGAAAATCTATTTTTTCAATCATTGTTTTCATTTCTCCCGTTCGCGTTAGCCAACGAGAAGCCAGTTTCCTTCCACCTGCACTAATCACGAATTATCATCCGAAGTCTTTTTCGCTGTCGAGAGGGCACCCTATCGCTTAAAAAGCATGCCCGTTTACACATGCAAAACCCGCAATGAGGAACAAAGAAGTGATGAAAAATTACGGCAGTTCGATCATAGATTTTGAAGCAGTATTTTGCTTTGCCGTCGCGTATTTTTAAATATTGATTTTTGGATGCGTTGGATTCCGGCGTTGATTTTGATCACAGCTATTTCAGCTCCCGGATGCAACATAGAACTCAACAATCACCACATTACAAAGGGGTTCACAACATCTGTCGAGAGTGAAAAAAGCTTTTCGTGAGATCATTGGTGATAAAATTAATTGCTTTTCGCCGATCATTGAGATTGATGTGCAATAACTTTTCATTAAGGATAAACCAGCTCTCACGGATTCAAGAAATCCAACGCAGTTTATAGGCGAGCCAGCTCTACCAAGGCACCACCCTTTCGAGAGAAGACAAAGCAATAGTATACTCAGAGTTATTGTCATTGATAATCAAATTGGATTTAATGGAAATGTGGGCTAACCTACGCAATATCTACACCTTGTAAGGAAGAAAACGAGAGCAGAACAAGCATCAGCTAATAGTGTATAATTTCCGCACTATTGTGATGAGTGGAGCAAGGAAACCCGATCACTCCCACGATTTAATCAGTGAAATTGAGCACAAATGACCGAAGATAATTCTTTGTTAGCAGCTTGGGCGATTTCAGCTGTCAACGAGGCAGAACAAATGTCTACGTTTCTCCCCCGCAATGCAGAGGGGAAAAATATGATAATCTACTGCTTTAATGACTATCGTATTCAGAAAACGGCCGGTCTGTAATGAGGTTATACGCGCACTAATGTAGCCCCTCTGGCCTCGAAGGGTATACGGAAAGAAATTAAAGGCAAACTGGTTTTCTCTTTGTTGCAAGGGTAGTGCATAGCTTCAGGGAATTCACTCACGAAGTCGCTGAGAAGAAGAAGATTCGGTTTAACAAAGAGAGCACGGCGGCCTCATAGACATGGCGTTGAAGGTACTAATTAATAAGTTCTTATCTTCAAGAGCTTCGAATCGACATTTCATTTGTATTATATATAGGCGTTACGAATGGTTGCGGCTTATCATGCATAAAACAGTGTTTACCGTGGTAGAGAAAAGAGTGAAAATTGGCTTTGAGAAACACGGCACTCTTTCTTCTATTAGTTAAATAAAAAAAAAAACTCCTCTTCGACATGTACTTATACTTAGATTTTAACTTTAATACGGTAGGGCTTATGACGGTAGGAAATTTTGGTAGAATAAAATAATGAGAAAGGAAGCTTTTAAGGGTATAACAGTTCTCCAAAAAGCCTATATCGAGGAACAATTGTTATTTCGAGCAATTACTGTCCATTTTGTGTAAGACTTTGTTGTGCTAGCTCTGTTTCAGATTCTGTGGCATGTAGTTACTTTTTGTTAGTAAGCATTCAACAACATGTTTCTCTGTTTTCCCCAAACAGTAATGATAAAATGTTGTTTGATATATTCTTCCATTTAATCTTTAAAATGTATCATCGTTTTTTTTTTTCTTTAGGACTCGTAAAGCAAAACATTTTTTTTCCATTATGATAGTTATTTTGTAATGATGCCCTCTCGCCAAAAGACGCTCAGTCTTTCGCGATGATTAGGACATATGCCAGACGGCTTTTAAAGATCTCCAACAAGTTTTTGATTAGATTTATGCTAATGTTTTACCCTTGTGAACATTTTATGCTTTCTCTTTCTCGCACTGAAATGTTCTTCAATTCTTTTTCGGTATTTTAGGCCGCTTTCTATTAATATAAAGAAGTTATAAATTGCCATTACAACATCAATGTTATTAAGTGTTAGCTTTTAATAGCTGTAAAATACATCTTAAGGGTACTTCTGACTTTAAATGTTATTCTAATTGAAAATTGTTTAGTCGCTTACAAATTTGAATTGCTGGAAGGTAACTTACATTAACGGTTCCGACCTTCTCGTGTTATTGTTATTTGGTCGTATCGATAAACACCGGTGATTTAAAAATGCAAATACAACCTGATGTGGTTATTTGTTTTTTTCTTTTCACGCGCTTACGTTTAGTTTCGCAATATTACCTATTTTAGGGGCAGCCAAATGATCGATATTTCAATATATTTTTTACATATATTTACGCTTTCATTAATTTTTGAATTCACTTATATGTATTCATGTATTTTCAGTAGAATTTGAATTATAGTGGGTACAACAGTCAGTTTTTGAAAGTAAATGTTTTTAAATAGAGAAGTGCTGCCTGGCAAAAATGTGGATTAGTAATATATCAAACACGAGAGAGCGTGTTTTACCACACCATATTTCCGAACACCGTGAGTTGAAAATACAACGCGTAGTGGAGTATTTTTGACAAATCTCGAGATGCTTGGAAATGTTGAAATTAAAACACTGTCTCAAGAGTTTGATACATTTTCGCAATCGAAACTTAAACTCAGGAGAAAACACAGAAACAAAAATCTATGTTACTTAAGATCAGATATCCAAACACCGTCACAGTTTGTCTAAACTTGATGGATTATTAATCAATTTGAGAAATTATCTTAATAAGTATTGACTGTTCCTGAGGCAACACCTTTTTTTGTATTTTTTTGATAGTATCCAGATTTCTTGTGAAGAATCGCATGTCAGTCATACATAGCAATTCCCCCGCGAGTTAATTGATGTCAGTGAGTCGATCTGAGAAACTGAGAGCGCGCACTGTTTATTCTTTAGGCATGATCCAGTGGTTGATTTGTGAAAACATATAATATCGATATCAACTGATTAATTGAATGGTTTGTTTCGGCCATAATACTCGAAAAAGCGGGTACGCCATCCAAGGGACCTTCTCTGAATTAATATTGGGAGCCTTCTTCCCCTTGAGTAAATCAGATGGCGAGTTACAATCAATAACCACTGAGAATATATCAGCCAGTAATCAATGAGAGTATATCAGCCACATCAGGTACGAAGTTCGGTTGGCTTCGATGGCTCACGGAGCACGTTGTTCGGATTGAGCGGTTTAGGTTTCAGCGCTAGCCGGGCTACCTCAACATTCCTAGTCATTCAATGCTGCAGAAACTGAAGCCCGGTCTGGCCTGGAAAACTTTCTTGTCTTGAAGACAAACTTTAACCAAATTCCTCTTGCTCTTTGATGAAAGATCAATTGAGTGACCTAAAACAAAAACCCGAACAATTACGATGGCAATCACAGCAAACGAAAACAGCTCAATAAACCAATAAGAACTCGAACTCAACACACGTGATACTAGCGCCAAGCGCGGGAAACCGCGTCAGACGAAGAGTCGCGAATGGTTTTGTTTGCGTCTGATTGGTTGAGCAGGTGGTGCCACTGGCGCTATCGTTGTTTACCATTTACCCAAAAATTCCGGACATTTCGGTCAGAATGTAATTGGTAAGACAATTTTGGCTCGACAGATCGGAGAATTTTTTGAAGTAAACGTGGAACGTCTTGAAACGTAGTCTAAAATTGCCAGCCGAAATATCCGAGTGGAAATGTGCTTACCATTTGCAATTCTTCACCGCCATCTTGGAATTATGATTAGGCCGAACTCGTCCTAGTCTCTCTCGGTAAATTAGGGTTTGTAAAAGGTAAATGGTAAATGGCCAATCTGAACGGAACTTACCATCAGGTATTTTTGCTTTCCATTTGCACAAACAGTTGACGAACCGGTTTCTCCCTGTAAAAAGTAAACAACCGAGGCTTCTTGAACTAATCGTATAATGGCGTAGAGTGGTTTTCAATTGTAACTCAGGGAAAAAATTGCTCGGGTTTTGCTTTGCCACACTCTATGATCAGTTATAAAAACTTATACAGCTCCTAGACCATGAATGATACTCATTAATCCGGAGATGACATTCCGGCTAGATATGAACTCACAGAGGTGGTTTCCGAATAATATACACCACCATATGTTTTCTTGTAATTTGGTTCAAATAATGCTGGCCCGGGCTCAAAGTAATCTATTACAATCTTGTCTAGCTTGGACCACCCATACGTATTTCAGTACCCTTCTAGTATTTATGCATTCTTTCTCTTTTTATTCTACATTGATAAACCAGGTTCGTTCCACTTACATGCACCTAAGTTTGCATGTGACGAAAAACGAATTTTTCTAGTTGATATGATTTCTTATTTTCCCTGCGGAATGTGCGAAACCACTTTTTCCTTTGTTTGTTTATTTTGACCTTTTAGTTGGAGCGTCGTTGACAAGCACAGTAACGCACGTGCTCCACGTTTCCCTGAAACCAAACGTCAAAGCGTCCAAAAAGGTCAAATAGCTGTTGACAGACACGCCTCCAAACGTTCTCGCTAGTCCAAATACCTTCATATTTTGTCTGCACGCGATGATTATTTCTTAAAATAGCTTTCAATGTAGGTGGATGCATGCCACGTCTTACGTCAAATCCTGCGGGGGACCCATTTTGGAAATATGCTGAAGTGTTTGCATTAAAGATTTTCCGGCGCAGAATGGCTTAAAGATTTATTTTTATCTATCGACTCAGTCAAATTAACCCTCTGCGAAAGAGCACATTCTATATTCCCTGTCTTCGCATTAAATGACTTGGTTCTTTCGTCAGCTTTCTTATCATGAATCTCGTCTGCACGCGAGGTTGCTCCTGAAGTCGAAATGAATCTTCTGCTTAATAGCTTTCATTTAACACGCGACAGTTTCATCCACAGACTTGACAGTTATGATCGCATTGCATAACGGAAGACCTCATACCACGTAAAAGGGTTGCTTGATAGCTTTCAATTGAATGGACACGCAAAAAAAAATAGGGTTTCGTCCAGAAATTTAAAAGTTTAAATCACCTTACTTGAAATGCAACATAATCAGTACCACATGAAAGTTGTGCTAATCAGCTTTCATTTGAATGGAAACACACTAGGGTTTCATTCACAGACTAAAAGGTAGAAGCATTTTGTACAACATAAACCCAGCATCAGATGCAACGAGTTCAATCAAGGTCACGTAACAGTGTTTAAGATTGAAGATTAAGAGTGAATGTACTTGACTTGTATTATATGAATCCGCCAGGCTTAATTCTCTCAAGAACATTTCAAGTGTTCACGCGTGGAACAATTCTTGTGCGTCCTTCTGTACTTATAAATGCACCTTCTGCGTTAAATTGTTCCTCTTTGTGAATGGAAGGTAACAGATAGATAAGGTTTTGGGTGAATTTCGTTCGTCAAGCTTTGCATGACTTTCGATTTTGACCTTAAAGAGCAGCCATTTCATGCACAGACCGTGTCACATTTGATATGTTCAGTTGACAGCAGTCCACTTGAAACTGGGTTTTAAAAAGCCATCACTCCAATGACGGACAAGTAATCAATTTATTGCAGGGTAATTTACTCCACTTTCACTCTGCATAACTAGTATTATTTGATAAAATACCACTCATGACATTCACAAACGACAACAAAACCTCTGGCCATTGAAGAGAATTATGCTTTACTCGGTTCACCCAAAAATCTGTACATGTATGAGACACTTTCAACAAAGTAAGTGCAGGAATGACTTAAGCCTGAAACTAAGACTGAAACCCAACAGAAATTACTGTTTCGTTCTTTTGCCATCAAAGACATTTGATTTTCACATTTTTACGGATATCGCAACTTTACTCGAAATTTGTCTTCACTTGTCTCAGATTCATTCACGGAGAATGTGTAAAGCTTCATATATGGAAATGCCACTCAAATGTCCAACAGATATTTTGTAAATCAGATAATCGGGATATCTTGAGGAGAGAATCGTTTTAATTTGGACATAAAGTGTCACCTCCATGCTATCTGAATAATTCTAAGCTTGTACCAGAGAAAACATTTTGAGGAAATGTGATCTTGAGAAAACTGACTAGCCATCGATTTGATAAGGGTTTGAAGTGTACACTGCAGCAAAATCACGAAACAACATTTGTGATTTGAAAGAACATTTCGTTTCAATAGAATAGAGCACCAAACAAAGCGATTCTTGTGCCTCAGATTTGTACTGAAATTACGAAAGAGAAATCTGGATTTTTGCAGCAAAGTCTAGAACATTGTAAAGATGGCAGACATATTTCAAGATTGTTGACCTTAGCCAACATTATCAGAAATTGACAGCCTTGCACGACGAGAGAAACTGCATATATGTTTTTAAAAATCCTGGCCTTTGCAGGTCTATTGACAAACATATTCAGTTATTGGACAACGTCTTACAATTTCAATGTCTTCATTTACGGATATCATATGGTTGAATCGTTCCATCCAGAAACCGGGGTAAAGTAACTTGCAATAATATTAACTGGCAACAACCTTTCAGATAGATCATAGAATTTATTAGAGAAAAATTCCGCATTTAATTCAAGAAAATGCTATAGAGAATACTTGTGTATTGATTAGACCGGAAACGGAAGAGAGGAAGTTTGTAGTTAAGGTAAACATTGGATAAAAATACATTGCTATACTCCACTCGACACGAACCTGCAATATGTTTCCAAAAAATTGGACCTATAATTGATGATTTTGTGTCAAGACTCATTATCTACTTAGTCTGTCAGTCTGCCAAACTTCGCCAATTAAAAGACACTACAAAACTAAAAGACATTGACAAAGTGGGATTGCATGTCCATATCAAATAGTCGCCTGAAACCATGAGGTCTACATCCTGATATAATTAGCTTGCATTCCAAAGTGCGTTGTTCAGTTGACGGATCTAGTGGTTTTAAGCGTAATTGGAATAACTGGGACCACGGTTCTAAGAGATAACAGAATCGCGACGGCAACACCCACTTCACTCCTACAAACGATAAACGAGCAGGAATCTTCCATCAAAAGTTGACAACAACCAACTGTTCGAAAGCTCCACAGTTTGACCACTGTTCCTCTGCATGCAGGCGAAAGGGAAGCCGAATTATTTGAAGTGTATGAACTGAGTGATATTTCCTGGAGCAGTGGAAATAGAAGGTCAGCAATCAAACATTCTGCGGTCGTTTATCCCAGATGAGGATCGCAATAACAACCGAGGAAAATACGGGAAGTGACGGAAGATGAGAAATATATAAAATAATAGCTTGGTTTAACTAAAAGCGTTTACAGTTATAAGTTCCATCTATAACCTACAAAGTAACCACAATCATGGCAAACGATGTCTTACAGGTGAGAAAGTGTCTAGTTATTATCATTTTAAATAATTAATGGCCATTTATATTTCAAGTGCGTTTGAGTAGTTTGTTGTTTCAACCAACACGAAAAGTATTTCGTGCTGATTTCAAATACTCGTCGGTGCTTTCAGAAATACCTAAACACGAATGTAAAGGATTCAATTCTGTGCAGTTCTATAGTTAAATTTCTCGTAAAAGAGAGGTGAAAATAAGCCGGTTGAATTACATATCACTTCATTTAGACTTAAAGATCGCTTAGATGGACTTTCATCTTAGCATTTTCCCCACTTCTTTTTCTTCAACTAATTGTAAACCAGTTAATTTTCAAAACTGCTCCACACCAGTTTGAATCATTCTTACATATAACTGTTATATTAGAATTCCTGTAATGAAAACCAAACATGACTAAAACATAGTTTATGCAATTTCTACCAATCGCATATCTTTACGATAAAACGATAGGGCAACAAGAGTTTTTCTGGAAGGCAAAATCGGACTTCTCTAGCTGAAAGCTCGCTTCTCCGTGAAATTTTGCTGTAAGTGTCCCAGCATATTTTCAGTTAATAATTGCATGTCATGGTGGTTTCTCGTTCGGCAAATGCTAAAGACAACAATATTCCAATATTGCTACCTACAATATCGCTGCTGGCGCTAAAAAATCTGCTTTGTCATTCGATTTGCCAGCAAGAGATTCAAACTATAAATAGAAATGAGAGTCTTGGGTAATGTGGAGATCATATATTATAGATAAAGAGGAAGCTCGGTCTTATGTCACTACAGTAACTCAACAACATGCAAACTACAACTGACTGATTACAAGAGTTCTGCGTTGTATTTAAACGCGCAGGGTTTTTAGTTACCCTATGACAATGCTGGCAACATCAAAATATTAGCAGAATATATAACTTAGCTAAAAGTAGGATTATGCTGGATTAAGGTTTAATAAGGATCATATATAGTGTTACATAACAAACATCGATTTTCTTATTCTTTCTCAGTAAAATCGAAATTTGATTTCAATGATGTCAGTGTTCTTAAAGCTGTGTCATTCTTACACACATCAAGATTAATCTGTAATTCGTCTTAATCTACAATAATATTAATCATTTCAAATCTTTTTGGCTTCTCATACGAAAGGAAATTATAGTTTTCAAGTTTGTAGCGAGAAAAGTGATTATGGGGGAGTTGACGACATCGACAAGCAGCAACACAAACGTCGTTACACAAAATGTAACGAGCAGGACAAAATCCTTGCACGTGCGTTGTACATTAGCTTCGTTCATTTACAAGCCGTTCTCTATAAAAATAACAACTTAAAATTCTTTTTTACGTTCTCCAGTGGAAAAAGTAAATCTGGACAGAAATAAACTTTATCTGTTTTCATTTGGACATGACTGTTTTCTTCACATATTCAGCTATAAGATACATAAGGAGGCAAACTTAATTTGGCTATATAAATATTAAATCATGCGTTTTAACCTCGACATTTTACGGAGCCGATAATTTTCATATAAGTTCTCCGGAAAGTGACGTTGAACTTCAAATAGATAATAGTCTGCAAGCAGGTTGAATAAAACCTTGTCGTCGTTAAACGTGACTAAAATTTGCTACCTAAGGCCTAGAATGATAAGGGTGCCCTTTTTAAAAGTTCGAAAATTACAGATAAAGTCTTTATGCTTCTTACAGTATTTTTCTCTTATGGTATGCCAAGATTTAGCTCAAACATAAATGCGTTGACCTGGGTAATTTGGAACATCAACTCGTCAAGTTTCGTGAGATATCTCACGTGTTTGGGGCCGCCCTGACGCCGAGTTTACTGACCCAAACCCACAATATGATTGACGACGTCAACATTTCCTCAACTGAAACAATTCAATAATTAAAGTAGAGCGCGAAGTGTAGTTTTTTCCCTCACATTTTGCACGCAAAAAGAAAATTCTTGGTTACTTCTAAGTGACCGAATAATTGATGCTCAGTGACTTAGCTTCGGGTCTCTGGAAGAAAAAAGCGAAAGTAAGCTAATAATTTGGGGAAGACGAAGATTAATGGAGGGAGAATGAAACTCGTTCACTTTTGATCTCTTTAATTTAAAGATCGCCTCGAGTCACAAATTCATTAAAAGCAGATTTCATTAAAAAGACAACAATCAGTTCTGGCAAATTAAAACAAGCAGGATGTTTCTTGTTGATTGCGATCTTTACTGATAGAAAGGATCATAAGGTTTTTGCATTAAGGAACAAACAACATTAGCAGATCACCCACGTGCATGCATGGTGCATAGATAAAGAATGGAAATAATTTAGCAAGGAGTGGCCTAGGATATTTGTGAACTCGGTGTGTTTTGTTACTTGTACTGCATGTTTCCTCTTCGGGTTTTCCACTTTAAGAGCCATACCGACCATTATAGATGGAAATTTCGATAGAGTTGTCGGGTTCCTGTACAAACTAGAGTTAATGATGATTTTATCACGAGAGATCTTTCCACCAAATCAGATCCACCGCAATTTGTTATCAATCAGGAACGGCCTTAGTGAGAACCTCACGAAATTTGTTTTCACGAAAATTGTTTGCCGTAGCCTCAAATTCGAAGTATTTTGCGTCAAATAGCTGCACTTAATGAACTTTTGTTGGTTGGAGAAATCAGTTCATTGCCAGTTGCTGTGGCGTTCAATAGCTTGGGATTATAGAAAGTGTGTGAAGGACTTACAGAAAGGACAATTTTAATGTTGGACTTAAGAGATGGGGTACGTAAAGTGCGTGCATTTTGATCACGTTTCTGTGAGGTACAGAAAACCGTGACTGTCGGGCTGTCTAGAACAACTAAAGCAAACCACAACGGCAACGGAAAAGAGATTCGGATCGCTAAAAAAAGGTTAAAAATAAACACTACAATGTCTCTACACGTGTGGTAGTACATTATGTAACGTTTGCCAATTAACAAAGTCAAATGTCTAAATTCCGTGGCATGGTTCTATCCTCGTGTACCGGTAAATGAGAACCATTTAATACAGCGAACCGATGACTCCTAAAGAAAGAAAATACAGTTGTTATTTTGTTTTGTACCGGTACTGACACCAGGACACAACCCAATTCAGCGTTTTTGGCCCAGAGCTGCTTGAACACCACGACAAAGTTTCAGTTGTTTCTTGGAATCTTCCAGAGACACTGCTGGACTTAAGCAATAGAGCACTTTTTCCGTATTTACATAGCCTCATCAAAACACGAGGGGGGATTCGGAGAATCGAGACAGTTATGCAAACCCGAGAGGAAGTCGAGGGTAACATAACTTTCGAGAATTCTCCGAGCCCCCCAAGTGTTTAGACGAGGTTATGTAAACACGGAAAAAGTTCTCCATTCCTCTTTATAAAATATTCTCAAGAATACGCGCGGAATCTAAAACGTCACAACCATGTTTACATAATCTCATCTTAACGCACCTATCGACCAATGGGCGCGCGCGCAGTATCTCAGTTATTTCATAAACACAGATAGCTCTGACCTGCTATCTTGAAATATCTTTGTAGGAGCTGAGGTTCATGTTACGTAATTAGAAATTAATTATTATTAGTTATGGTTATGCTTTGTGGTAGACGTT